TAAAGAAAGAAAGAAAGAATCAACGAAAGAAAGAGACAGTCAAAGAAAGAATTGAAGGGGAAAATGGAGCAGATAAACTGAAGAAAGAAAGAAAGAAAGAAAGAAAGAAAGAAAAAAGAAAGAAAGAAAGAGACAGTCAAAGAAAGAATTGAAGGGAAAGATGGAAATAGATAAAGTGAAGAAAGAAGAAAGAAAGAAAGAAAGAAAGAAAGAAAGAAAGAACGAAAGAAAGAAAGAATCAACGAAAAGAAAGAGACAGTCAAAAAGAAAGAATTGAAGGGAAAGATGGAAATAGATAAACTGAAAGAAAGAAGAAGAAAGAAAGAAAGAAAGAAAGAAAGAAAAGAAACGAAAGAAAGAAAGAATCAACTAGAAAGAAAAAAGAGACAGTCAAAAGAAGGAATTGAAGGGAAAAATGGGACAGATAAACTGAAAGAAAAAGAAAGAAAGAAAGAAAGAAAGAAAGAAAGAAAGAAAAAGAAAGAAAGAAAGAAAGAAAGAAAGAAAGAGACAGTCAAAGAAAGAATTGAAGGGAAAGATGGAAACAGATAAACTGAAGAAAGAAAGAAAGAAAGAAAAACGAAAGAAAGAAAGAAAAGAAAGCGACAGTCAAAAAGAAAGAATTGAAGGGGAAAAATGGAAACAGATAAACTGAAGAAAGAAAGAAAGAAAAAAGAAAAGAAAGAATCAACAAAAAAAAAAAGGGAAAGAGACAGATCTGAAGAAAGAAAGAAAAAAGAAAGGGAAAAAAGAAAGAAAAGACAGATAAACTGAATTAAGGAAAGAAAAAAGAAAAAGAATGAAAGAATCAACGAAAGAAAGAAAGAGACAGATCAAAAGAAATAATTGAAGGAAAGATGGAAACAGATAAACTGAAGAAAGAAAGAAAGAAAGAAAGAAAGAAAGAAAAGAAAGAAAGAAAAGAAAAAAAAAAAGAAAAGAAAAAGAAAAAAAAGAAAGTAAGAAAGAAAGAAAGAAAGAACAGAACGAAAGTCAAAGAAAGAAAAAAATGGAAAAAAAAGAAAGAAAGAAAGAAAGAAAGAAAGTCAAAGAAAGAATTGAAGGGAAAGATGGAAACAGATAAACGGAAGAAAGAAAAGAAAGAAAGAAAAAAGAAAGAAAGAAAAAAAGAAAGAAAAGAATCAAAGAAAGAAAGAAAAAAGACAGTCAAAGAAAGAAAATTGAACAGAAGAAAATGGAGAAAGATAAACTGAAGAAAGAAAGAAAGAAAGAAAGAAAGAAATCAACGAAAGAAAAGAAAAAGAAAGTCAAAGAAAGAATTGAAGGAAAAATGGAGTCAGATAAACTGAAGAAAGAAAGAAAGAAAGAAAGAATCAACGAAAGAAAGAGACAGTCAAAGAAAGAATTGAAGGGAAAATGGAGACAGATAAACTGAAAGAAAAAAAGAAAAAAGAAAAAACGAAAGAAAGAAAGACAGTCAAAGAAAGAATTGAAGGAAAGATGGAAACAGATAAACTGAAGAAAGAAAGAAAGAAAGAAAGAAAGAAAGAAAGTAAGAAAGAAAGAAAGAAAGACAGAACGAAAGAAAGAAAGAAAGAACGAAAGAAAGAAAGAAAGAAAGAAAGTAAGAAAGAAAGAAAGAAAGAAAGAAACAGACAGTCAAAGAAAGAATTGAAGGGAAAGATGGAAACAGATAAACTGAAGAAAGAAAGAAATAAATAAAGAAAGAAAGAAAGAATCAACGAAAGAAAGAGACAGTCAAAGAAAGAATTGAAGGGGAAAATGGAGCAGATAAACTGAAGAAAGAAAGAAAGAAAGAAAGAAAGAAAAAAGAAAGAAAGAAAGAGACAGTCAAAGAAAGAATTGAAGGGAAAGATGGAAATAGATAAACTGAAGAAAGAAGAAAGAAAGAAAGAAAGAAAGAAAGAACGAAAGAAAGAAAGAATCAACGAAAGAAAGAGACAGTCAAAGAAGGAATTGAAGGGAAAAATGGAGACAGATAAAAGAAAGAAGAAAGAAAGAAATAAAGAAAGAAAAAAAAAGAAAGAATCAAAGAAAGAAAGCTACAGTCAAAGAAAGAATTGAAGGAAAAATGGAGACAGATAAACTGAAGAAAAGGAAGAAAAAGAAAGAAAAAGAAAGAAAGAAAGAAAGAAATCAACCAAAAAAAGAGACAGATCAAAGAAAGAATTGACGGGAAAAATGGAAACAGATAAACTGAAAGAAAGAAAAGAAAAATGAATAAAAAAGAAAGAAAAAGAAAGAATCAAAAAAAGAAAGAGACAGTCAAAGAAATAATTGAAGGGAAAGATGGAGACAGATAAACTGAAGAAAGAAAGAAAAAAGAAAGAAAGAAGAAAGAAAAGAACGAAAAAGAAAAAAAAAAGAAAGAAAGAAAGAAAGAAAGAAAGAATCAACGAAAGAAAAGAGACAGTCAAAGAAAGAATTGAAGGGAAAAATGGAAACAGATAAACTGAAGAAAGAAAGAAAAAAGAAAGAAAGAAAGAATCAAAGAATCAAAAAAGAAAGAAAAGAATCAATAAAAAGAAAGAAAGACAGTCAAAGAAAGAAATTGAAAGGGGAAAAATGGAGACAGATAAAGTGAAAGAAAGAAAGAAAGAAAGAAAGAAGAAAAAGAAAAAGAAAGAGACAGTCAAAGAAAGAATTGAAGGGGAAAAATGGATTCAGATAAACTGAAAAAGAAAGAAAGAAAGAAAAAAATCAACGAAAGAAAGAAGAAAGAAGTCAAAGAAAGAATTGAAGGAAAAATGGAGACAGAAAAAAAGGAAACAAAGAAAGAAAGAAAGAAAAAAGAATCAAAAGAAAGAAAGAGAAGAAAGAAAAGTCAAAAAAGAATTGAAGGAAAGATGGAAACAGATAAACTGAAGAAAGAAAGAAAGAAAGAAAAAGAAAAAAAAAAAAGAAAAAAAGAAAAGAAAGAAAGAAAAGAAAGAAAAAGAAAGAAAGAAAGAAAAGAAAGAAAGAAAAAGAAAGAAAAGAAAGAAAGTAAGAAAGAAAGAAAAAGAAAAAGAAAAAACAGACAGTCAAAGAAAGAAAAAAAATTGAAGGTCAAAGATGGAAAAGGAAAAATGAGATAAACTGAAGAAAGAAAGAAATAAATAAAGAAAGAAAGAAAGAATCAACGAAAGAAAGAGACAAAGAAAGAAAGAAAATTGAAAGGGAAAATGGAACAGATAAACTGAAGAAAGAAAAAGAAAGAAAGAAAGAAAGAAAAAAAAGAAAGAAAAGAAAAGAGAGACAGTCAAAGAAAGAATTGAAGGGAAAGATGGAAATAGATAAACTGAAGAAAGAAGAAAGAAAGAAAAAAAGAAAGAACGAAAGAAAGAAAAGAATCAACGAAAGAAAGAGAACAGTCAAAGAAAGAGACAGTCAAAGAATTGAAGGGAAAAATGAAAGAACAGATAAACTGAAGAAAAGAAAAGAAAAATAAAGAAAGATAAAAAAAAGAAAGAATCAACGAAAGAAAGAACAGTCAAAAGAAAGAATTGAAGGGGAAAATGGAGACAGATAAACTGAAAGAAAGGAAGAAAGAAAGAAAGAAAGAAAGAATCAACCAAAGAAAGAGACAGTCAAAGAAAGAATTGAAGGGAAAGATGGGGAAAGAAAAAATGGAGACAGATAAACGAACGAAAGAAAGAAAGAAAATGAATAAAGAAAGAAAGAAAGAATCAACGAAAGAAAGAAAGAGACAGTCAAAGAAAGAATTGAAGGGAAAGATGGAAAGATGGAGAGAAAGATAAAAAGAAGAAGAAAGGAAGAAAGAAAGAGAGAAAAAAGAACGAAAGAAAAGAAAAAAGAACGAAAGAAAGAAAGAATCAACGAAAGAAAAGAGACAGTCAAAGAAGGAATTGAAGGAAAAATGGAGACAGATAAACTGAAGAAAGAAAGAAAGAAAGAAAGAAAGAAAGAAAGAAAGAAAAAAGAATCAACGAAAGAAAGAGACAGTCAAAGAAAAGAATTGAAGGGAAAAATGGAGACAGATAAACTGAAAGAAAGAAAGAAAGAAAGAATCAAAAAAAAGAAAGAGACAGTCAAAGAAAGAATTGAAGGGAAAATAGAGACAGATAAACTGAAGAAAAAGAAAGAAAAAAGAAAGAAAGAAAAAAAGAAAGAAAGAAAAGAAGGAAAGAAAAAGAAAGGAAAGAAAGAATCAAAAAAAGAAAGAATCAACGAAAGAAAGAGACAGTCAAAGAAAGAATTGAAGGGAAAATGGAGACAGATAAAACTGAAGAAAGAAAAGAAAAGAAAGAAAGAAAGAAAGAATGCAAAGAAAGAAAGAACAGTCAAAGAAAGAATAGTCAAAGGAAAGATGGAAACAGATAAACTGAAGAAAGAAAAAAAGAAAGAAAGAAAAGAAAGAAAGAAAGAAAGAAAGAAAGAAAGAATTGAATCAAAATGAAAGAAAGAAAAAGAAAAAGAAAAGAAAAAGAAAGAAAGAAAGAAAAGAAAGAAAGAGAAGTCAAAGAAAGAATTGAAGGGAAAGATGGAAACAGATAAACAGACAGTCAAAGAAAGAATTGAAGGGAAAGATGGAACAGAAGAAAGAAAGAAAAGAAAGAAAGAAAGAATCAACGAAAGAAAGAGACAGTCAAAAGAAAGAATTGAAGGGAAAATGGAGACAGATAAACTGAAGAAGAAAAAAGAAAGAAAGAATCAACGAAAGAAAGAGACAGTCAAAGAAAGAATTGAAGGGAAAGATGGAAACAGATAAACTGAAGAAAGAAAGAAAAGAAAGAAAGAAAGAAAGAAAGAAAGAAAAAGAAAGAAAAGAAAGAATTAAAGGAAAGAGACAGTCAAAAGAAAAAAAAAGAAAGGGAAAAGATGAAAAAACAGATAAACTAAACTGGAAGAAAGAAAAAAGAAAAGAAAGAAAAGAAAAGAAAGAAAGAGACAGTCAAAGAAAGAAAGAATTCAAGGGAAAAATGGAGACAGATAAAGTGAAGAAAGAAAGAAAGAAAGAATCAACGAAAGAAGAGACAGTCAAAGAAAGAATTGGAGGAACAGAAAAATGGAGAAAGAATAAACTGGAAGAAAGAAAGAAAGAAAGAAAGAATCAACGAAAGAAAGAGACAGTCAAAGAAAGAATTGAAGGGAAACAGAAAATGGAGACAGATAAACTGAAAAAAGAAAGAAAGAAAGAAAGAATCAACGAAAGAAAGAGACAGTCAAAGAAAGAATTGAAAGGGAAAATGGAGACAGAGAAGAAAAGAAAGAAAAAAAAAAAAAGAAGAAAGAAAGAAAGAAAGAATCAACGAAAGAAAGAGACAGTCAAAGAAAGAATTGAAGGGAAATGGAGACAGAAAAAAGAAAGAAAGAAAGAAAGAATCAACGAAAAGAAAGAGACAGTCAAAGAAAGAATTGAAGGGGAAAATGGAGACAGATAAACTGAAGAAAGAAAGAAAGAAAGAAAAAAGAATCAACGAAAAGAAAGAGACAGTCAAAAGAAAAAGAATTGAAGGGAAAATGGAGACAAAGATAAACTGAAGAAAGAAAGAAAGAAAAAAGAAAAAAAGAAAGAAAGAAATCAAAGAAAGAATTGAAAAATAAAAGAAAAGAAAACTGACAGTCAAAAGAAAGAATTGAAGAAAAATGAAAGAAAGAAAGAAAAATAGACTGAAAGAAAGAAAAGAAAGAAAGAAAAGAATCAACGATGGAAGAAAGAAAAAAGACAGTCAAAGACAGTCAAAGAAAGAATTGAAGGGAAAAATTGAGACAGATAAACTGAAGAAAGAAAAAGAAAAGAATCAACGAAAGAAAAGAGACAGTCAAAGAAAGAATTGAGGGGAAAATGGAGACAGATAAACTGAAAGAAAGAAAGAAAGAATCAACGAAAGAAAGAGACAGTCAAAAAAAAAAAGAATTGAAGGGGAAAATAAGAAAGAAAGAACAGATAAACTGAAGAAAAGAAAGAAAGAAAGAATCAACGAAAGAAAGAGACAGTCAAAGAAAGAATTGAAGGGGAAAATGGAGACAGATAAACTGAAGAAAGAAAGAAAGAAAGAATCAACGAAAGAAAGAGACAGTCAAAGAAAGAATTGAAGGGGAAAATGGAGACAGATAAACTGAAGAAAGAAAGAAAGAAAGAATCAACGAAAGAAAGAGACAGTCAAAGAAAGAATTGAAGAAAAAATGGAGACAGATAAACTGAAAGAAAGAAAGAAAAAGAAAAGAAAGAAAGAATAAACGAAAAAGAAAAGAGACAGTCAAAAAAAAGAATTGAGGGGGAAAATGGAGACAGATAAACTGAAGAAAGAAAGAAAGAATCAACGAAAGAAAGAGACAGTCAAAGAAAGAATTGAAGGGGAAAATGGAGACAGATAAACTGAAGAAAGAAAGAAAGAAATTAAGAATCAACGAAAGAAAGAGACAGTCAAAGAAAGAATTGAAGGGGAAAATGGAGACAGATAAACTGAAGAAAGAAAGAAAGAAAGAATCAACGAAAGAAAGAGACAGTCAAAGAAAGAATTGAAGGGGAAAATGGAGACAGATAAACTGAAGAAAGAAAGAAAGAAAGAAAGAAAGAAAGAAAGAAAGAAAGAAAGAAAGAAAGAAAGTGACAGTCAAAGAAAGAATTGAAGGGGAAAATGGAGACAAATAGACTGAAGAAAGAAAGAAAGAAAGAAAGAATCAACGATAGAAAAAGACAGTCAAAGAAAGAATTGAAGGGGAAAATGGAGACAGATAAACTGAAGAAAAGAAAAGAAAGAAAAAGAATCAACGAAAAGAAAAGACAGTCAAAAAGAAAGAATTGAAGGGGAAAATGGGGACAGATAAACTGAAGAAAGAAAGAAAGAAAGAAAGAAAGAAAGAAAGAAAGAAAGAAAGTAAGAAAGAAAGAGACAGTCAAAGAAAGAATTGAAGGGAAAGATGGAAACAGATAAACTGAAGAAAGAATGAAAGAATCAACGAAAGAAAGAGACAGTCAAAGAAAGAATTGAAGGGGAAAATGGAGACAGATAAACTGAAGAAAGAAAGAAAGAAAGAAAGATAGAAAGAGACAGTCAAAGAAAGAATTGAAGGGGAAAATGGAGACAGATAAACTGAAGAAAGAAAGAAAGAAAGAAAGAAAGAATCAACGAAAGAAAGAGACAGTCAAAGAAAGAATTGGAGGGGAAAATGGAGACAGATAAACTGAAGAAAGAAAGAAAGAGTCAACGAAAGAAAGAGACAGTCAAAGAAAGAATTGAAGGGGAAAATGGAGACAGATAAACTGAAGAAAGAAAGAAAGAAAGAATCAACGAAAGAAAGAGACAGTCAAAGAAAGAATTGAAGGGGAAAATGGAGACAGATAAACTGAAGAAAGAAAGAAAGAAAGAATCAACGATAGAAAGAGACAGTCAAAGAAAGAATTGAAGGGGAAAATGGAGACAGATAAACTGAAGAAAGAAAAGAAAGAAAGAATCAACGAAAGAAAGAGACAGTCAAAGAAAGAATTGGAGGGGAAAATGGAGACAGATAAACTGAAGAAAGAAAGAAAGAATCAACGAAAGAAAGAGACAGTCAAAGAAAGAATCGAAGGGGAAAATGGAGACAGATAAACTGAAGAAAGAAAGAAAGAAAGAATCAACGAAAGAAAGAGACAGTCAAAGAAATAATTGAAGTGAATGATGGAAACAGATAAACTGAAGAAAGAAAGTATGAAAGAAATAAAGAACGAAGGAAAGAAAGAATCAACGAAAGAAAGAGACAGTTAAAGAAGGAATTGAAGGAAAAATGGACAGATAATGAAGACAAAGAAAGAAAGAAAACGAAAGAAAAGACAGTCAAAAGAAAGAATTGAAGGGAAAATGGAGACAGTCAAAGAAAGAAATAAATAAAGAAAGAAATGAAGAAAAATGGAAAGAAAAGAGATAAAGAATTGAAGGGGAAAATGGAGACAGATAAATGAAAAGAAAGAAAGAATGAAAAAGAAAGAAAAGAAACGAAAGAAAGAAAAAAGAATCAAAGAAAAGAAAGACAGTCAAAAGAAGGAATTGAAGGGAAAAAATGGAGACAGATAAACTGAAGAAAGAAAGAAAGAAAGAAAGAAAAGAAAAAAAGAAAACGAAAGAAAGAGAAGTCAAAAAAATTGAAGGGGAAATAAAGATAAACAGAAGAAAAGAAAAAAGAAAGAATCAAAAAAAAGAAAGAGACAGTCAAAACTGAATTGAAGGGAAAAAAGAGACAGATAAACTGAAGAAAAGAAAGAAAGAAAGAAAGAAAGAAAGAAAGAAAGAAAGAAAGAAAGAAAAAATCAACGAAAGAAAGAGACAGTCAAAGAAAGAATTGAAGGGAAAGATGGAGACAGATAAACTGAATAAAGAAAGAAAGAAAGAAAGAAAGAAAGAAAGAAAGAATCAAAGAAAGAATAGAAACAGGAGTTACAGACAAATAATGACGGAAAGACAGGAGGAAAGAAAGAGAGAATAAAATAAGTAAATAAACAAAAAAAGAAAGACGCCGAAAGTAAAAATGAAATCGTGAATCAAACAAAGTAAGAGAAAAACAACCTGAAGAAAGAAAGAAAGAAAGAAAGAAAGAAAGAAAGAAAGAAAGAAAGAAAGACAGAAGCAAAATGTCAAATGAAAGAAAGAATAGAGGGAAAAATTATAATAAAATAAACTGAAGAAAAAAGTCAGAAAATGTAAAACGAAAAAGAACCTAAAGGAAAGAATAGATGGGAAATAAATATATAGACAGAGAAACTGAAGAAAGAAAGAAAAAAGAAAGAAAGAAAGAAGAGAAGGGAAAATTATAGACAGAGAAACTGAAGAAAGAAAGAAAGAAAGAAAGAAACAAAAATTCCTGAGCAAAGTTCACAACAGAAAAAATATTTGAATTTTAAATAAATTAAAGGAGAGTAAAATCAATAGAAACAAGATAAAAGGGAGAAAATGAAGGTTAAATGAAGCGGACACACAATTGGTTGAAATAAACAAAAATATGACGTAATAAAATTGCAAAAAAAAATAATAAGTATATCACAAAAAATAAATAATCTGAAAATCAAATCAAAACGGTAAACAAAATATAAGGAAAAATAGTAAAAAAAATATACATGAAGATACAAATGAAAGAATAAATAATTAAAGAATAAATAATTAAAGAATAAATAATTAAATAAATGAACAATAAACAGATAATAAAATCAGCTAAAAATAATATTTTTTGACCCTTAAGGACGTGTAATTTATAGTGGTTATCGACGCTCCAAGTAGAATTCAAATTCCGTTTTGGTGTGTTTCTTTTTTACTTTCGCACTACAAACATTAGGAATGGCTTAATTCTATCCTCACCCTCACAGCTATTGATTTGGGCTGTAGAGAACGTCCATTTGCTATTGGCAATCAACATTTGAAAACACTAGTCGAACAAAACCTATGTCAAAGTGTCTGAGAAAGTGACTCAGATAATTGGTGCTAGCATTTCAAACCTATCGGGTCATCTCAAGAAAATGGGCAAGGTGGAGAAATCTGATAAATAGGTTCCGCATGAACTCAATGTAAGTGAAAAAAGTTTGAATTTTGAAGTGTGTCCGATACTGCATTGGCAAAATTCGAATGATCCTTTTCTTGATCGAATAGTGACATGTGATGAGAAACGACCCCCTATAACAATCGTAAACTATAAGCTCAAATAATTGATCATGACAAAGCACAGAAGCACTTTCCAAAACCGAAATTACACCAATAGAAGATTATAACGACTCTCTGGTGGTTCGCCATTGGCTCTGGAATCTCACCTAAGCATCGCTGCCAATGTTTATTACCAACAACTGGATGATTTGGTTTGGTTTCTTTTACGGCCTATCAACCTCAATGGTTGATTTAATGACGACAAAATTATTATTGTTGGTAATATTTCTTTTCAAAAATCTATTTCTGGTAACATTTTTCCTTCAAGTATGTAGCGCTGGTAATATTTTTTTTTCAAAAATGTATTGCCGGTAATAGTTTTTTACAAAGTATTTCTGGTATTAAAATATATTTTATATTTTCATAGTGTTTTTATCCTAGTTTAGGGGTTAAATATTTGCCCATAGCTGGGACCCTATTAGGTCCTAACACCCCGGTTCATGGTGGACTTGGGAACATCAGCAATTCAGATGTGGTTCCACGCTCTTCAAAACCTCCTGATCAGAGGATTTGCTGTTGGAAGTAGTTTATCATCTTACCCAGGACACGGACGAAGTTTATCTTTTTACCCAGGACGCGGATGTAGTTTATGGTCATACCCAGGACGCGGATGTAGTTTATCTTTTTACCCAGGACGCGGATGTAGTTTATCATCTTACCCAGGACACGGACGAAGTTTATCTTTTTACCCAGAACGCGGATGTAGTTTATGGTCATACCCAGGACGCGGATGTAGTTTATGGTCATACCTAGGACGCGGATGTAGTTTATCATCTTACCCAGGACACGGACGAAGTTTATCGTTTTACCCAGGACGCGGATGTAGTTTATCATCTTACCCAGGACGCGGATGTAGTTTATGGTCATACCCAGGACGCGGATGTTGTTTATGGTCATACCCAGGACACGGATGTAGTTTATGGTCATACCCAGGTCGGAGCAACTGGATGAAATACACATTCAGTTAACAAAAATTTAACTGATATTGTTTAATCGACGAGGTCCAATTCTGCTTCATGACAATGTTCAGTCATATATTACCAGTATGCCACTTCAGAATCTCACCTTGGGATAAATACTTTGCTACATCCACTATATTCCTCTGATCTCTCGGCCGCTAATTGCCACTTTATCAAACATCTGGACACTTATTTAAGCCAAAAGACATCATCCCAAAGAAGATGCAGACATTGCATCCAAAGGTTTTTTACTGCCCGAACATTTAGATTTTCATCGTAAAGGTATGAATAACCATGTAGAAATGGCTTAAACTGTACTGATAAATGATCAGTTACCTCCCCTTATGGTCTAGGATGTATAAAAAGCACACTGTAAATTAGTCAGTAGACGAGTAATCAGAGTAAAGTGCAATAAAGCTTATTGATAAATAATAATAATTAATCGGGTTATTAATAAGCCGATTCGGGTTATCAAGGAGTAGAGTTGCAACGAAGTTCGTAAATGTTTCGAGCCAGTGTGTTCAGAGTTTATCTTCTGCTTCAATTTCTGAATCATAGGTAAATAGTTCTGGCCGCGTATAAAGTTCCATTGTAAGTGCAATAAATTATAGTAAAACAGTACCAGTGAATAAAATTGTACCAAAGCTTTATTGCACTTTACTCTGATTACTCGACTATTGACGGATTTACGGGGTGCTTTTTATACATTCTAGATCTTAAGGGGAGGTAACTGATGATTTATCAGTACAGTTTAAACCAGTCAAAATAAGATCCCTGGGCAGATTAACATTTCTACATGGTTATTCATGTCTTTACGATGATAGTCTAAATGTATGGACAACAAGAAACCTTTGGATGCAATGTCTGCATCCTTTTTGCAATGGAATCTTTTTTGGCTTAAATAAGTGCCCAGATGCTTGATAATGTGGTAATTATTGGCTTAAAGATTAGAGGAAAATACTTGACTTTACGAGAGTCAGATATGCCACCGAGTCCTTATTTTCTAGATTGTGTTCAAATGCATCTACGCCGCCTTGTGGATGACAAATTCATTTTAACCTCTTTCCCCACAGACGAAACATCTCGCTATTTTCATTCATATGACAATCTATATTCTTTAGTTCCAACATTTCTAGCCTTTACCTTTGACCGCTAATCCCATATACACTTAGACGAATAATCTCAATTCCCTTTGTATTCTATTAGTAAGAAGGAAATCCCATTTCCTTATTAGACCGTAGTCGGGATCATGGAGTGAATGCGAACGATCCTATCTTTAGCTGTATAGTATGTGCTACAGTTTTGAATTCAGAGTTTTCCTTCTCCTAGACTGGTTGCCACGAAAAGCTACAGAATCCGGTCTAGCCTGAAGGAAGAAGAAGAGGATTCGTAACAGTCCTAAGAGTATTAGCAAGTAAGTGAATCCGAACTCGGCTCTCCAATTCCTCAATCCGAGGTGCTATCCATTACTCAACATTTCCAATAACCACTATTTCGTGAAAGAGACTCTAAAGAAAATACACCCTCCTCTCACGTTTGTAAAAGCGAATTAAACAATGAAATTCAAACAGCAGAAAGTAAAAATAACAGAATGTCTCTTCTTTTTCTTCATATGTCATTCTCTAATGAATTTTTAATAAAAGTGAAACATGTTAGATTGATAAACGTTCTCTATTTTTTCTTTTTCTTATCATTCTGTCGGATTCCAATCCATATTTGATCTGTATTTGATCCCAATTCATATACACAGTTACATCCTAAAATATGAGCGTTCAGACATACGGCGTTTTTAGATATGAGACGGCCGATATTTTGGCTTGAGATCAGAGATGAATTTTGAGATACGAGCGAGTTTCAGTTTAGCATACTCTGGTTGGCTCAGCAAGCGACAAGCTTCGAGAGTATTTCCCCTCGCAGTACACGTGTTCACCTTTATCTCGAAGGATCTCTGTTGCGTTGTGTCTTTTTTGTCGTTATTTTGCAAAATTTATTTAGTCATAAACAACATGGGTCCGAAGAAAGTAAGTGTAAAGTGCAGTAAAGAATATTTAGAGGCCTGGAACGGATCGGAAATATTCTCATTAATTCGACTGGTGTAATCTGATTTGAGATACGAGTCTTTTGAGCTACGAGCTTGGTCTTAGAACGAATTATACTCATATCTCAAGGAATTCCTATACACACACACACACACACACATATATATATATATATATATATATATATATATATATATATATATATATATATATATATATAAATGAACACGCACACATATATATATATGAGTGTGTATATATATATATATATATATATATATATATATATATATATATGTATGTATGAAATATATATAATATATATATATATATGTTCATCCAGTGCAAGACCCATGAGTTTCTCAAGGCATTACTGTACACACACGCACAAACACACACACAGACACACACACACACATATATATATATATATATATATATATATATATATATATATATATATATATATATACATAATATATGTATATATATATAATATATATATACGCACATTATGTTAATAGGTTGCAAATATAGATTATGATTGGGAAAACATAAAGGAATGAAAAGGCTTTAGAAGAAACCGGAAACTCAATTCTAAAGAAGGAAACAAAAAATAAACCTCTACTCTTGTTCAAAAAAAAAAAGGGAGGAGGAACTGAACGACACGAAACTATCTACCCTTTATATATATATATATACATATATATATATATATATATATATATATATATATATATATATATATATATATATATATATATATATATATATATATATATATATATATATATATATATATATATATATATATATATATATATATACATATACATATATATATATACATATAATTATATATTATAAATTAATTGAATATGGTTTTTTTCCGCTACATTTCTAACCATGTTTCAAAAATGGAAGCTAAAAGCCCCGAATTTAATTTTTTAATTAAATTAAAGACATTAGTTCCATTTCATCCTCAAGCGAATTTTGGAGTAACTTTTAACATTACTGGGTTTTAAAGACACAGCTAAAATCATAATTCATATTTCCAAGGTTACAGATAAATCTATTTTGCTAGACTAGGGGTGTCTGGGTGTTCAATATGTCTATATTTTAACGTATCAGTTATTGCTACGTTTTGGTAGTGGGTAGGGATGTATTTTTCA